AAGGTGGGTGCAGGGAAGGCACAGACCACTGGGCAGCTGTGGGGTCAGGCACTGGGGTCTGCAAGCTGTAGCTGACACCCTGCACCTGTCTCCCATAGCTGATGTGTGAGCTTGGAAACAGCACTGTGAACCAGATCTATGAGGCCCAATGTGAGGAGTTGGGCAGCAAGAAGCCCACAGCCAGCAGCCCCAGGTGAGGGGGGTGCAGCTGACTGAGGCAGGGAACTCTGGCAGTCCCAAGTGTGGGGGCGGTGGACTGGTGGGCTGGGGGCCCCTGCCTGAGTCCACTTGACATTTGCCCTGGTCCAGGCAGGACAAGGAGGCCTGGATCAAGGACAAATACGTGGAAAAGAAGTTTCTGCGTAAGCTGCCAGCAGCACCAGACCGGGAAGCAACAGCTGACAGGGAGTCAGGCCCCCGGCACTGGCGGGTGAAGAAGTGCCAACGGCACCACAGCTCCCCCCGGGCCCCCACCACCCGCCGCAAGGTCCGGCTGGAGCCCACCCTGCCCTCTGTTGTGGCCCTGTCCTCAGGTACCAGGGTGGCTAACGGGTCACAAACTCACCTAACCCTGACCCTAGGCCAAGTGGTTGGGCAGGAGACAGGGGTTCACAGGTCCAACCCCCAGCACAACCTGGGGTTACCCACTCCACCCTGGTCCTCAGTTTTCCCATCTGAACCTGTGGTTCTGCCCCCCTGCAGCTGGCACTTTGGAGCGCAAGTTCCGCCGGGATTCCCTCTTCTGCCCGGATGAGCTGGACTCTCTCTTCTCCTACTTTGATGCAGGGGCTGCTGGGGCAGGTCCACGAAGTAAGTCCCGGGGAGCACCCCCCATCCTCCTGCTACCCACCCCCTTAAGCACAGCCAGGCCAACAGAACTGGGGCCATTGCATTTTGGAGGGCCTGCCTCGAAGGGTGAGGTTCATCTAGTGGGTGCCCGGCTGTGGACAGCTGCCGTCACTTGCTCAGGGACTGGAGGGACAGGCCTGCCTGCAGGAAAGACTGGGCTGGGGAGCTGGTATTGCAAAGAGACTGGTCTAGGGGTAGGAGAATTTGGAGATCAGTGGGACTAAGGCTTGAACAGTACGTTAAGGGGCCAGTGGTATATTGTCCTGGAGGCCAAGGTTAGGGCTGATGAGAATATGTGCAAGTGTGTGTGTGTGTGTATGGGGCTGTGTGCAGGTGCATATAAGTGTGAGCACATTAATATGTATGTGTGTGTGCACATATGGCTGTGTGCATACAGTTGTATATGTATGAAAGTGTGTCACTTGTGAATATATGTATAAAATATCATGGCAGTGGCATCTGACTTCCTTTAACTTCACAAGTGGGGTGAGTCAGCAGCAGCATCAGTGCCAGGCTGATTCCTATGAGGCAGAGGTTAGACATGCTTTCCACCCTCCAACCTTTATACTAGTTCTAACAGTAGCTATCTCTCCCATGGCACTTCCTACTTCTCAGCTGGATTTGGTACAGTGGCCACACAGAACTCACAAACCATACTTATGCTTATGGGGCTTATTAGGGAAGTAACAGGTTACAATTCAGGTTCAGGAATGCTCAGGATAGTTCTTTGATCAGGATAGCTTTTTCTCAGCCTTGGGCATAGGCAGGTCTCTCTCTCTGGCCCTCAGCCCCTCAGCCTGGCCTCTGTCCTGCTCTAGCAAATGTTAAAAGCTCTTTTAGCTCTATGTTAAGTGCCCAGAGGCACCCCACTCTTCCAGTAAGCCTTGGTCTGAAGGCACTCAGCTCTAGCTCCATGGGTTGGCCAACCTAGCTCCATCAAATGCCTGGAGACACCCTACTCCACCAGCAAGCCTCCTGCCCAGAGCTTTCTTGCTCTGTGGGCTGGGAAACCCACCATGCTATCTCCTGTTGGTCTCCTGGTTCTGCTGTCACTGTTTCTCTGCTGCTACTTCTTCCCATCTCAGACCAGCTCCAGTGTTACAGCTTTCTGTCTCCTGGGTTGAGGATGCTCTCAGCAAAGGGATCCCTGGTCTAAAAGATGTGCTCTGCCATCATCACTTCTTCTTGGTGGTCATGAAGTCTCCCTTTCTCCCTCTGGGCAGCCTCATTTTAAGCCTAGTAGGATGACCAATCCCCTCACTAGGCTTCCATACACCTTATTTCCATGGCCCCACTCCCACAAGGGTGCCATGATCCTTATTTACATTATTAGCAAGCTATCCAATCCCCTTGGTGGGCCACAAGCACCTCATTCAGTCCCACCCAATCATTTGATGGAAGTTACAAATACTATGGCTAGAGGGGCCATATTAAGTAATTTACTGCACTGCAGCTTGTATGGTTACAGTACACCCAAGTGTGCATGTATACACTCAGGGGTGTGTGTGCACATCTGCATGCACCTGTGTGCTGGGGATCCTGGGCAGTGATGTGCAGGAGCTGGCTCATAAAAGACAATTGTGGGCTTCTTTCCCCAACTGTGCTCGGAATTGGCTGGTGGGCATCTTTATACCACAGAAACTGGCAAATGCTGCAAGCCAGCCTCCTACCCCAGGGCTAGTTGCTAACTGTTTATCTCACCTACTGGCCTAGGACACTGTGCAGTGCTTTCCTGGGCAGTCCAAGCAAAAGGGACCAGACAGGGGTCAGGGGCTGGCAGGGGTAATGGGGGCCATGCAGGGTTGACAGAAGGCAGCAGAGAGTACTACTGCACCTTCTCAAAGCCTGGGACTTGCCTGGGGGCCAGGCTGGCCTTGGATGTTTGAGGTTCTGACCCTTCCATGCCCCTGGCAAAGGAGCCCCAGACCTTGCAGTGCTCAGGAACCCCTCTGCCTTTGGGCCTGGCAGGTCTGAGCAGCGACAGTGGACTGGGTGGCAGCTCAGACGGCAGCTCGGATGTACTGGCCTTCGGCGCGGGCTCAGTGGTGGACAGCGTCACAGAGGAGGGTGGGTGCTTGCTCGTCTGTTGCTGCGGCTCCTCCCCTGCTCCTGGCCACTGCCCGAGCATCCCCTCACCCAGTCGTTGCCCCTGACCGCACCCCTCCCTGCAGAAGGCGGGGAATCGGAGGTGTCCAGTGGTGAGGCAGACGGGGAGGCAGAGGCCTGGGGCCTGGCAGACGTGCGCGAGCTGCACCCTGGGCTCCTAGCGCACCGCGCTGCACGCACCAGAGACCTTCCCGCGCTGGCGGCGGCACTGGCCCACGGGGCCGAGGTCAACTGGGCAGACTCGGAGGACGAAGGCAAGACGCCACTGGTCCAAGCAGTGCTCGGGGTGAGTAGGGGGGCAGCAGGATGGGGCACCAGCAGGAGGGAGCATGCGGGCTTCTTTGCATAATTTGTCGTACATTTGCATAATATGTCTGTATTTGCATACTCCTGACCCACTCTTCTGTGGTGCCCACACAATGGCCCCTTGTTCTCTGGCGGAGACCAGGCTAGGACCTGGCTGGGGCTCCCATTGCAGGATCTGATTCAGGGATGGGGGGGGGGTGCATTTCCTCTGCTCAGCATGACCCACCTCTTCTCCGCAGGGCTCCTTGATCATCTGTGAATTCCTTCTGCAAAACGGAGCAGACGTGAACCAAAGAGACAGCCGGGGGCGAGCGCCCCTGCACCACGCCACGCTCTTGGGCCGCACGGGGTGAGTGCTCCGCCCCGCCGAGCCCCAGCCTTGCTGCGGCACGCAGGGTCCACTCGAACTCGCCTCCTCCTTCCCCGCAGCCAGGTCTGCCTGTTCTTGAAGCGGGGAGCCGACCAGCACGCCCTGGACCATGACCAGCAGGACCCGCTGAGTATCGCGGTGCAAGCAGCCAACGCGGACATCGTTACCTTGTGAGTCGAGGCGGGTCTGCTGGGTCCGCGGGGCGGGGTTCTCACCTGAGGTCGATTCCCAGTAGAGTCCTGGAGCAGTGGTCCAAGGGTGGGGCGGGGTCAGCTTGGCCAGCGGGTCCAGGCAGGGCGAGGAGGGGTGGAGTTGGGGGAGGGTCTATTGTAGGCGGAGTCCTGGTGGCTGGGCGGGGTCCTGGGGTGGGCTGGCAAGGTCTCCCTGGGTCGATGCCAGAAGTCTGCCTCACGAAGGCGGTTCCCAGGCTCCGACTGGCGCGTATGACTGAGGAGATGCGTGAGGCAGAGGCGCCGCCAGGCCAGCCGGGCCCACTAACAGGCAGCAGCCCCACCGAGCTCCAGTACCGCCGGTGCATCCAGGAGTTCATTGGCCTCCACCTGGAGGAGAGCTAGGGCCGGGCCGGCCGGGCAGCCGCGGGACACTGCCCCGGCACCCGGCCGCCGGCCCGGCCGCCCTGCATGCCCCTGGAGACCCCGGCCCTGCCCACCCCTGGCCCAGCTGTGACGACACCTGGGCCTACATCTGACAGCCCGGTGCCGGGCACTCCTGGGGCACTGCTCGCCCACCCTTCCCTGCTCTGAACTGCCCAGAAACCCCCTATTCCCAGAGGGGAGGAGGACCTGGGCACTGTCTTTTCAAGCCCTAGGTTTCCTGGGGAGGGAGGCTGTCACCTGATGTCCCTCACCTCTCCTGGAGGCCCTCTGTCCTCAGATGACCCATGCCTTCCTCTGGAGCCTGGGTTGCTCACACCACAAACTACTCAAGGCCCATGGCACCTTGTGCCCTTTTTGCCCTAGGCATCTAGGTCACCTCATGTGTGCCCCTCAGACCTGGGGCCCAGGTCACCTGTGGGGCCCGTGTCACCTCATGCCCGTGCTGCCCTGGGGTCTGGGTCACCTTGGGCCCCAGTCACCTTGTGGGGCCCATGTTACCTTGTACCCTCTCTGCCCTCAGAGCCTGTGTCACCTTGTGCCCTCTCTGTCCTGGGGCCTGGGTCACCTTGTGAAACCTGGGTCACTTCGTGGGGCTCATGTCACCTCGTGCCCTCTCTGTCCTCAGAGCCTGTGTCACCTTGTGCCCCACTTTTACTGCCCCACAACACTGGCCTGCCAGTTGAGTCCTTCCTACATTCCCCCAGAGCCCTTCCTCTGGACCCCAAGGTTGGTGGCTGGCCACCAGTCCCTTGCTAGGGCAGGGAGGGGCAGCCCATCCAGGGATCAACCCCATGTACCTCACTTAGTGACTCCAGCATCCAGGCTGGGCTGTGAGGGTGCTGAGTGGGCGGGACTCTGGCCTGGGGCTTCAGCCCCTGCTGGACGCTGGCGTCCTGGGCCACGTGGCTGGCCACGCAGGCCTATGGTGCAGGACGGCCCCAGGCCCGTCCCTGCCCCCTCTGGAGGCACTTTCTCCGGTACTTGGCCCAGAGCCCTGCATAAAGCAACTTTGGCACTTTTCACCCGCATCCGATGTCCTTTGTTACGGCTGAGCGGGTTTTCTACGACGCTCTCTTTTGAACTGTTTTGCGTCTTTTCTCTGTGGACTCTCGAGGACTCCCTGCTCCGGCTCTACCTGCAGCCTGGCCCTGCCCCTGCTAGCCTTGTCCCTTGGGCTAGGCCCTTCATAATGGAACCAGGGGTCTGTCAGCAACTACTGGGCCCCACTGATGCTCTCTTGTTTCACTTTTTGAAAAAAGGCCCGGGCAGTGGCTGAGTACCTTCCCCAACTATGGACCCTCGGTCAGGCCAGTCAACTGGTCATTATGCAAAACGCTGTCTGGAGAGGCTCTGTAGGTGGCAAGGCTGACCCGGGGCACCCCCAACTCCCTCACCCGATGGCTGTGATCCCTAAAGAGAAAATTAACTCCTTCCTTTCTCCCTGCTTGAGCCCTGCCCGCCACTCCGGCTCAGATCACACACTGTTAATAAACCTCTGCCGCTTGCTATGCTGCCTGCTCATTGGCTCAACCTCTTGCCCTGCTCTGTCTCTGGCCCCAGCCCTCCCCTCAGGAAAGCCCTGAGTGGGACAGGGCTACTATCCCTTCCCAAACAGGATGCCACACAGGCTTGGTCAAGCTAGTAAGCTCAGCCTCCACCTGCCAGGTGCCTGATGGGAGGACTGGGGCTTCTTTAATGAACACAGACTCCTGATACCCCCAGCATCCTCTTGTATGTGTGTGTGTGGGGGGTGACACCAACAGGAGAGGATGGTCTGGGCTAGGCCTGTTCCCTGGGCCTGCAAGTTAGTCCTTTGCCCAGTGCCCCTCCTGACCCCACCTCCATTCTCCTATCTATACCCCACTCCCCTGTTGCTACTGTGGTCTGCCCTAAGGAGGTGTTAGGCTAACCAGGGTGGGGGAGGGTGGGGGTGCACACAGATACTGCCAACCAGGTGGAATCGTGATTTTATTACAAAACAGCGCAGCCTTAGTGTCTTGTCAGGTCCTATAGGTAGCATAGTGGCTAAGACACTTGCCTGCTAATCAGACGGCTGGTGGTTCAAACCCACCAGCCACTCCTCGGAAGGAAGGTTGGGCAAT